ACTGGATAGTTTAACAAAATTCTTTAATGTCTTCACGTATAATTTAGAGTTTGAATAAAGCTCTTAATGCCATTTAGTAATAAGGATGCTTCCTTTGCATGTGAAATTGCACACCTGCAAAACTACTGTCCCACTTTCTTGGCCAAAATTGGTATAATTAGTATCCTCATTTTTAGTTATAGCCTCCTTGTTTTTACATGTTTTTACATTGCTTTCCAAGTCAACTCTGTTTGTAGACATTTTGCTGTAACCTGGAATGACTTTTAAGTTAAAAAAAAACATTTCCCCCCACCAGCATTCTTAATTAGCAGGAGCTAAAATTTATGTCATTCCGTATCTTCCCCCTCCAGTTTTATTATGTAAAAATATTAGGGTTTTTTGTTTCTTCATATATCTTTCACGTAGTAAAATTACTTTAAAATTACAAGTTTAAAATCTTGACTGAAGAGTTTGGGGAGTTTTGGCTAAACCCTTTAATTTGCCATTAAGATTTTGAGAGATTTAAGGCTTCAGTGCAAAAGTGAAAGGATCAGCACAGAGACCAAATTCCAATAAAAGCAATATAGAGAGTCAGAGGGATGCTCCCAAGTTGCTTGAAGGTGCTCCCTGTTCTACTCATATGATGAGCAAAGGGAAGATGTACTATTTGTAAGTTAAGACACAGTAGTTTAATATTTGCATGATAAATAGATAGAATAGGAAATAGATAATAGGCCCTATTTTTAATGTAGTAATAGGACACAAACTTTTACTTTTGTATTTGTTTTTAAAATTTCTTTAGCACCATGAGCAAGGCTGTGCTGTGTGCTTTCTCTGTGCTCTTACACTCCGTGTTACATTGGTGATGTGTGGTTGCATGGACTTAAGGTTCAAATAAGAAAAAGGTTTTCATTTTGCTTCTTTCCTACTTCTTCATGACAGTTCAAAAATTACAAAGAGCACTGAAGCAGTTTGGGCTGCCTCTAACTTAACTAAACATCATCTTCTGGAAGTGGATGTTTGAGGGAAGATACACCTTGTACCTAGTGCTTTGTCCACTCCAGAAGAGCTGGAGAGAAGCTTGCAGGTGCACATTTAAAACAAAGGAAGCTTTTTGGGACCCATTGTTCCTTGGTTCAAGTTCAGGCAAAGGTTTCTGGTGGTGCTTCAGTGGGTGCTCTGGACACTGGCTTGAGAAGGGGTCATGGCTCATCAACAACAGCTGCTGGATTCCCAGCTCTGAATGTGGGTGTTAGGTGGGGTCATTCCATTCAAAACTGGGTTCCCAAAGGGTTAAAATTCAGAGCTGTTGTAAATAAATTCTGTGAAAGTGGATCAAGCTTTGAGCCTGCTTGCAAAATAATTTAAGTTCTAGAGAAATTCTTATACCTTCATTTATGTATCTAACTAAACACCTTTGTCAACTTCCCAGTGAAATTAATACTTTTACCTGGCAATAGGAAGTGGTAGGAGGAAGACACGGGGATCCTTGAGAAACACAGTGCTTGGGGGTTGGGTCAAGGTCAGTGGTACCTGCTGATGGTCATTGGATAAGATGATCTTGAATACCAGCATTGTTACTTACAAATAAAACGAGTCCTTTTGCAAAGTGGAGTAAGTAGATGGTTTCTTTCCTTTTACACTGGTGTCCTGTGTTTCCTAGGCCACTCTTCCTGAAAATAATAAAATGCTTGCTTTGTTTCTGGGTCCTGCGTCAAGCTTCTGCTTTAACCATAGGATAGTTTTATCTGTTTTAAGGATAAATAGCTTTGTAGATAGAATATGATTGCTGTGCATAGAGCAACCTATCATTTCCTCTTGCTCTAAAATGTGGTGGATAGACCACCACTGCATGTTGCATTCATGTTTCTGCTTTTTCTACATCATCCACTTACTCTTGAAGTGTTTTAGCTGTAGGGAACATCTGTCACAAACCCAAATGTTTATATTCATATAAATTGGCACCTGTGTCAGCTCCTCAAAGAGATGTTCATCACAATCTTTTTGCAAGCAGATGTGCTGTGACTGGAAAAACTTCTTTAATAATTAAGTACGATTAAAGTATCTGGAATCTGTTCCAGTTACTGAAGCATCATTGAAGATTGTGATTCTTCTTATGAAAATACAATTGCCTGGATTTTGCATTACAAATATATGTTAAAGTCATGTCTGGAAATCAGAGAAAAGTTCTTTGCAGACTGTACAGTGAGCAGTGCTAAAATTGGGGGAGTTGTGCTTAAGATGATTTATTTATTTATTTATTTTTGTAAAATTAGATGCATTAATCATGAGAAGTACAGTTTCTTCACAGATTTTCCATATGGACTTCCCTGGTTATAAATAATACTTTTAAAGGCTTGATTAGAAAAAAAATTAGTTTCATCTTATACTTGTAAAACATCACTGTAGTCAAGCAACCAGCCCAAAAGGAACTGATGCATGATGAAAGTAATATTTTGTATTTCAGTTATAAAGATGGAGTTCAATATCTCTCCCACTGTGTGCTGGCAAATAGAGAAAGGACTTCCAATTCAATTTAAACCTCATTCAGTTCAATATCTGTAGAAATGTGTTGGACCCTGAAGATAGTTTTCTCAACAGCTTTCTGCTGTAACCAGCACTGTAACCAGTAACCAGGTTACTGGTGAGCTGCTTTTCCTGTAGGAGGAAAGAGAGAAGAAAAAGGCAGAGGGATGACTGGTCTTCAAAATTCATTACAGAACCACTAGTGTTAGTCTTAAATTTTATTACATTTAAATATATTAAGATTTTTTTAAGCAGCACAGAGTGCTGTAGTTCAAAGATCTCAGGTTAGTGTCAGGTTTTAATAGTTTTATGCAGTCTTTTCAGTGATGTTTTCCTCTTCTTGGCTCTACTGTATATAGTATAGTTTCCTAGATTTCTATAGAATTCACCTGTGTTTTCAGTGCTTTTTTGTCATATGCTTTACATTTATCTCTTCTTCTCTTTTTCCAAGCCTATCTTCCCATTAAAAGGTATCTGCTCCTTCTTTCCTGCTTCCACAGACCATTTCTTCCTCCATCTCTCCTTCTCTCCCTCTTATTTTAGCCTTTCTCAAAAACTAATCTTCTGCCCCCCCACTGATAAAGGCAATAAAGTTTGATGGTATAAGCTGAAGATATTGTTAAAGATCTGGATAGCTTCATGGTTAGAGGCAAAGGCAGCCCGTTCTACAGAATTTTCTGGGAATTTCTCCCATATACCCAAATGGCTAAAACTACTAGTCAGCTGGTCTTCATTTAAGATACTTCTGAGGAGCTTTCCTCTTCATTCTCCTTTTTATCCCAAAACTTTTTTGGGGACCACTCTTCTCAATAAGCCTAACAAATCCTGGAAGATACCATGCACTTTAAAGTCTTAGACATTTTCTTTTGATTTCAGCAATGCTGAAATGCTGCATGTTAGTTTTCATAAATAATTCTCATCAGTCGTGAAACTGTTCTGTTTTGAAATGTATGTATTTCACAGAGAAAAGGACAGAATTGATCCCTTCCAGCTATTTAGGTAACAACCAAACATAAGCTGTGTTGAGTCTTTGGTAGCTGTGCCATACTTTTCACTGCAGCAGTGGCTACTTGCATTTTGGACTGGTGGGGGCCTTCACTTTTATGTTTTTAAGAAAATGTGTGTTATTTCCACTGGGCTCATGCAGATCATCATAGGATTTGTTGGGATGAATGTTGGCAGAATCCTTGCTGACTGAGTACCCTATGTACCCACATATCTACTCAGGGTGGCGGTACCAAATGCTCTTCCTTTGCAGTCTGGATCATAGCCAGGTATTACCCAGGATGAACCAAGAGGCAAGGGAAATGAATGTAAGATAGCACTGACGGAAAATAACAACAAAATGAAACAAAAACAAAACCCACCATGAACACAAGTCCAGGACCTTTTCTTAAGATGTTTTATTTTCCAAATGAACCTTGGTTAGAAGAGCTGAAGAAAGTTGAAATCTGGTTCAGTTTTGCTTCATGCTAGCAAACAATTATCAGAGAGAGAAGATTGTCTACTCAAGGTGGAGGTGAAAATGAGCAAGGTAGAAATGGTGCAACCAGACTTCCCTATACATTTTTTTTCTCTTGGTTACTGGAGAATGTTTCTAACTTTCTCTTACTTTTGCTCAAGGAAGTCAAGCTTGCTGCATCTTCAGCTCTTTATGCTTTGACTAGGGAAAAAAAAAAGTACAATTTGAACTTTCAAAGGAAGAATAGTATTCAATTTTATTGCTGGACTTCAATCAGTAACTCTCCAGGTGCATTATAAAACCTGCTGATATTTAAAAAATCTTCACTAATTTGGCATGGCCATCTTAACACAGGGTCTGTTTTAAAAACACGTTAAACGCTCACATCTTCTGACATAAAAGGAAAAGGAAAGAAAAAAGAGAGCATAAAACAATAAAACCGAAGCCTGTAGGCAGAATGTTTCATTACAATAGTTGTGGGGTTTCTTTTTAATTATATGTAATAAAAAACTTGCAGATGATGCCCACTCTTTGGACGGGGGGATAAGACAAGTAAAGTTCCTTGCCTGAGGCCCAGGGTTGGGAATATAAACCATAGTTAGCTGGCATTGTACTTTTTGATAATAGCAATGTCACCAGTGATCTAATGATGACTTTTCCACCCCTTTGATGATATGTTGTCTTGCAGATAATTATTGGCATGATACAGTAAAATATTTTGATGGAAGACACAAACAGTTTCCCATATAATAAAGTGCTTTTTTGTAGAGTCTGCATTCCCACAGTGGGATCTGGTGGTGTCTGTTCTTCGATGGGCAGGATTTTATCAGCAGAGACTGGCTCTGTGGTGGTAGGGAGCGTGTCCCAGCAGTTTTTAATGCTGATGACATTATAACAGCATTGAACTTCATTGCAGCACTTTGTTTACTGTGAGGCTGCTACTTAGATCTGCAGAGAGGAGGGAGCCTTAGGAAATGCAAGACCAGTGTTTAACAAAACTTATCTTCTTCCCCCTCTCCCTTTCTCTTCACAGAAAATATCAGAGAGGAACCCGGGTACGCCTCAGACTGCTGGATCTTGAACTGACGTCCAGGTTTTTGGGGGCAGCCAGTGATACAACATTGCTGGAAGCTGATGCAGTGCTTTTGGGACTTGCAGAGAGCAAGCAAACAAAGCAAAATTAGTAAATTTACTGCAAAGAGATGCGCTTCGTGCACTTCATGCTCTGTAACAAATTACATAAATTAAATGCTTCCTCAGGAAATAAATTAAAATTTTCTGTCCACTTAGTCATGTAAAAAATGAGATCAATAAAGAACAATAAGCACATTGTACCTAATCCTTGCTCCATTTTTATTCACTCATCTTTCTAGCTCTTTGCCTTTAGATTTAAAGGTGCAGGCTAACTGAATGTGTTCATATTCTTGTATAAGGAATTTCAGAGTCCATCATACTACCCCAAAGGAATGTTGATTTTCCATGGAGGAAGTCCTAAGCTTGCTGTCGTGCTGCTTCTAGGATGGTGTTTCATACAGAACAACATCAAGGGTTTCTGATTTCCAAGTTGCACTGCAGGCTGTTTTACTACTGATACTGGGTTTAATATCTGTTACAGAACATAAAGCTTTTATCTCCATCTGCATGAGGAACTAGAGATTATTCTTTGCTTTAATCAGAGCTCCCATTTCCAATGCATGTTAGTAAATTTTCTCTGGTGGTTCATAAAAATGGAAAGAAGCTGTTTCAATGTAGTTGGCCAAGTGTAGGTCTTAGTTTTCTGTAAATATATTTAAGATAAATAATAGTGGGTGTTTGAACACACAACCAAAGAATCATGCTATGGTATTTCCTGTATCTTTTTGGACCTTTTGGTATCAGATTTCTGGTCTGTTCAAGCCTAAATTCTGCACAGTCATTTTTGATCTGCATAGTGCCTAGCAAGTGTTCTGAGGGAAAGTGAAGTTTGCCATTCATACCACAGAATTTCAAAAGAAAGCCTGTTTAATCTCACAATATTTTTCCCAAATATTGGAATGAAATGAGATTTGTTAGGATAGTATGCCCGGTTTGTCTGCAGTGACTGTCCAGTGACAGTGTGTTTCTTTTATGTGTATGTTATTCAGCAAATTGCACAAAATTCAGCAAAACACCTGCTGGCTTAAGCATGTATTACCCAAATCCACAGAGCCCTCATCTTTGTGCTGCAGCAGGCCATGTGAACATTGATGGAGCCACTGAAGGATGGTGTAGCTCCTTCTGCCTCTCAAGACTGAGTCCATTGATGTCTCAGTCCCATGAGGGCAGAGGGGCTAAGGGATCTCTAAAGAAGCAGGGTGCCAGAGAGCACAGCTCACACATCCCTTTCCTTGCCGTTGTCTGGGAGGTGCTTGGATAAGATGGCATCAGTGCAGAAACGGGGAGCAGTTCTGTTACATCACAGCTGGCTAGTGGCTCAGGTTGTCACCCAAGCTCTGCAAGTCTTCAAATGATCCAACAACATTTCTTCAGGATACAGAAGCTTTAACCTGTTTATAGGTTAACCATTGTAATTTCTTTTTAAAGGGTTTTGTATTTTTTTTAAACATATAAAAAGAAAAGCTGAAGTGCCTTTTTACCTACACTACAGCCATATTGCATATGCATATAACCATATGCACAGTGGTTTGATTGTTTCTTACACCTCTGGCTAAAAGAAAACCTTTGACCAAATAAACAGAAGATTAATTTCCCACCTTTTCCCTCTTGTAACACTGAAATAAAAGGTACAGCACAGACACAATCATACAATTATTAAGGTTGAAAAATATCTCCGTGATCATTGAGTCCAGCTGTTAACCCAACACTGCCAACTTCACCACTGAACCATGTCCTTAAGTTCCTCATCTACAAATGCTTTGAACACTTCCAGAGGTGGTGGTGCCACCACTTGACTGGCCAGCCTGATTCAATGCCTGGCATCACCTGATATGGGAAATTTCCAAGATGCATCTCATGTATGATCTGTCAAGGAGAATATATTTATTATAAGGTATGTATTTACCAAAATACTAGGAGGAATCACATGGTAAATGTATAACCATTCTGAAGGAATGAGCATGTTTCAACAGATCCTTTTATAGTTTTGCGAACTGAAATTTTGTTTCTGAAATCAGTATGGATCCAAGCAAGAGAAAGGAAACAAGCAATGAGAGCTTATTTTGTTGCTTTAATTTGCTCATTCATCTCAGTGATCTTAATTAGGGGATTTTGAACATGAATTTCTTTGGGTGTTAGCCTCCAAGTAAAGAGTTATTCTATCCCTAGAGAAGGAAAATAAGGCCTTTTTAAGAAGCCAGGAGGGATTTAAAACATCAAAGAAATCCTGTCTGTTGAACATAACTCATCCTACATGCTTGATCAACCTTCAATAAGAGTGATTTGAAAGGAAGTATATGCTTTAATGTTTTGGGGCAGAATAGGAGTTATTTCACAGTAGGGTAACAGATAGTGATTTTATCAAACCTTCCTCTGGATAACCTTTAGGTTGTGGTTTAGGTTTAGCTTTTGGAGGCTGTAATGGTCATTATTTCAAGTCTAGCTTAGTGTTCTGTTTAGAAACCAAAGAGTTGACACAAACTGACTCAGTCATAGAAACTGCAGGTTTGAGCCTCCAGTGGCTTTAGGCTGCTGCTAGTCTTTGTGGCCTTTGATGAACCAGCTGTCCCAGTTCATCTTTGGTGACCTTCAGTTATTAATTGGCCCTCCAAACTCTTCATACAAGAGTTGTCCCATGGAAGAGTCTCTATTTGGGGTAGCCTGTGCCCATTGCACATTGCCTCAGTTCTACACGACTCCCAAAGGCAGAATTGCAAAGGCAGAGCAGGGATTTCTGAAATGTCTTTGTGGTGGGCTGTTGCAACTGCATTTTATAGCTGTAATACCTGCATATACCAAGAATATATGGAGACTACATGTCCATAACAGAGCAAGAAAGCACCAGTGTTCATTACTGAACAGCCACGATGGAACAGTTGTGTGACCTGTATCTGTAAGACTATTATTTTTTACTCCTTGTCAGAGTAGAAGTTGATAATGCAAGCAGGTATTTCTAGGGCCATCCATACAGCAAAATAAATGCAGGTTTCTTTTCTGCTGGTTGCTCCCTATCCCCAGGAGTTCCCTTTTTTCTTCATGGCCACATTCCTTTTTGCTCCTCTGCATTTTCTGCTGTCAAATGTGCACAAGTGTATGTACAAGGTGTACAAGAACTGTGCACAGTGAAATCTCTTTGTCCATGTGGTACAGATCCCTGAGTGACCTTGTGTGGGTCTTAGTTTGGGCAGTGGTATCAATCTGAATTTTTGTTTGGAGGTCATTCTTATTTCAGGTAAGAGGATAACATAAAGAACATTTCTTTATGTTAGATCCTGCTAACATGTAGAAAGGCAAAAGCCAGCCCTGCAGCTCCTGTGGCACTGTGCCCAGCCCAACCACTGCCTGGAATACTCTTTTATCACTATATATACTGCATGTACAACTAATATGAACCAAATGAATGCTACTTGTACATATCAAGATTCCAGCTGAAAATGGAAGAGCATCATTTTGCTGAGAATCCTGAGAGCAGCATAAACCAAGTTCTGCAACTATGCTCATCTGACTGCCAAAATCAGGAATTTCTCTACATGCCATGCTGCATTTCTTTCTAAATGTTGTAGTTTTTTCGTACTCTGAAGTATGCACCAGATGAACGATTCATTACTAAAATCATATGGATTTCTGCTCTCACCTTTTTTTGATTACGCAGCTGAGAAGACATTTGTTTTTCAGATATTTGGGGGTTTTTCTCTGCACCAATCTTGAGTTTTGAAAGTGTTGAATAGTTTTTTTGCTCTGAAATTTTTCAGGTAACAACACAAACCCCACTTCATTAGCAGATACTGGGTTTTCATTATCCTCTATCATATTCTGCTTTGTATGCTGCCCACATCTCTTAGTTGACAAATTTCTCACTTAGATTTGGATGAGCATGACAGATTCACTTCAAGAAGTTGTAATTCATGCTTGGTGTAAAATTTGCACTCGGAATTGTAACTCTGAGTGCTCAGATAGCAACATGAAATGCATCTTCAGCAGAGGGAGGAGGAGGGTGCTGCCATCCTGGCCTTGCCTCCCCACTCTTTTGGGTACTCTATGGGTGATGGGAAGGCTCAAATCTTCCCTTCTGCACAAGCAAGGAGATATTTCCACACATTCTGCTAGGAAGACACTTACCTTTTCTAGACCTGTAACTGAAGTGCTTGTGAGCTTCCCCCTAACCCACTTCCGCTTCTCACTCATGTGCCTGAATGTCCATAGTGCTTTCTAGGTTTACAAATGTGGTTATAAGCAAAGTTAGCTTTGATAAAAACTGAATCAAAGCTGGCTTGGGTTTTTATTTTTACTAGCTGAAGCAATAATTTCTCTTTCGGGTTTATTCTGGTCCTGTTTTGAAGGCTTTAAAAAGTTGTCCTAGACTTCTACCTTTTATTTTACAAACAGAACATTAAACACTTAATACATGCTTGGAAAGCAAAATATCTTTATCATAAGGTGGAGTTGGAAGAAAAATGATCAATGTTCAATGTTCCTTTGATGACTGATGTGCTATAACAAGACCTGGTAAATCCTCCTAGGCTTGTCTGCCCTTTCATATTTCAGGCCTTGAAGTGATGAGATGGGGAAAAACGGAAACACTGAAGAAATCAGGCCTGCCTATTAAAAACAAATTAGCATCTTGCCACCAAAGCTTTGGCACTGAGCTCATTTATAAAGAAAAGAATACTTCACATTTTACTTCCCTTTAGGGCATTCTGAAAAGTTTGGGTTCCTCCTCATTTCTTAATAATGTCACATTTATAAATCATACAAATTAGTTGTTCAAGCTCTTTATTCTTTTTCTGGTAGTATTAATCCCATATACTGGGAAAGCTATTCCAGTCTTCTGGTTTGTCTAGAGAGCATTTCTACTAGATACAAGCATGCAAGCTAAAAGTGGAGTTTTTTTTAGTACATTATACATTCTGGGGAAGTGTTTAACGCATATGAAAGGTCTAGACTGCCCAAATGGGGCTATTACATTGTCATCTGGCCATAACCCAAAATAAATATTATATCTGGCATGACTGCATTAGACTAACATGAGTAAGATCTTAAACACCTCTAAGTGTTCTCGTTGCCTTCTCGGTTGTGCCTCATTCAATCAGAGTTAAGCACCCTGATGCACTCACTGCATGGTGGCTCTAATGAGGAAATCTGCCATTTGTTAACTTCTGTCTGCAGCAGGCTGTGTGTCAAGAGCAGCCAAAAGTTACACGTCCC